ACTCCCCCCTTCCCGCCCTTCTTGCCACTCTTGCCCCGTTTCTGCTAGTCTGCGGCAGAAACGCCAGCGGTGTCCTCAGAGACCGACACAGCAGCAGAAGCGCGAGTAGCGGTGAAAGTGGGAAGCTGAGGGGCGGCACACCCCGCAAAGAGACGGGGGGCCACCGCATCAGTGGCGGAGGCAACGGTGAGGAGGCTGCTCTCGATGGTCCCGAGAGCAGTCTGAAGGAGGTCTATAGTGAGTTCAGTGGGGTGCTTCTGAAGAAGCGCGTCGCGGGCAGTGGCAAGGCGGTCAGGGAGGCGGGTGACTAACCAGTGCACAGTGAGCCACATGGGGGGGGGGAGCAACAAGGAGCTGTGCGTCGGTACAGGCCGAACGAAAACCGGCGTCAAGCGAGCGAAGGTGAGTCACTAGGTCGGAAACAGTCGCAAACGAGCCTAGGTCGGGAAACACGAACGGCATGAGGAGGCGACTGAGGGAGGCGGAGGAGGGGGTGGAATAGCGAGCCACAATAGCATCCCAAACCCCCTTGGCTGTCTCCACCTGGTCAAAGTGAGCGGCCTCAGTCGGGGGGAGAAGCTCCGATAGCGTGAGGGCGGCGGCCGCGTCACGAGGGAGCCACACGTCCCGAGCCAGGACCCGACGGTCGTAGTCCGCCTGGGCCGTAGGAGTCGGCTCCGGGGCGGTCGGCAGGGCGGCGGGGGACGGGGGTGCCGCGAGAGCGCCCGACGCGTGGGCCCACAGAGTGGCGCCGTCCTGACGCTGGCTGGTGAGGAAACGTGTGGTCTGGCGCTGCCATGTACCGAACTCGATCGGGCGTCCCTCAGCATCGAAACGGAGGCGACGGGCCTCCATAGCGGAGCCCATGCTAGAGGCGACTGGAGCACGGCGGAGGCGGAGCTAAGAACGAGGAGGAAAACTACGGAGGGCTAGGGACGCCAGCGGGGAAACTAACGAGAGACAGTCGGCGAGAAGATAGTCGTGGGGCGGGGCTCTAACCGAACCTAGGTGGCGCTACCGGAGGGAAGAGCGGCTGCCAGCCGCTGAGCCGGGAGCCAAGTGCAGTAGGAATGGCGTGGGACCGGGGCACAGGTGAAGGGGAGAGAGATGCAGTAAGCGCACAAAGGGATGCGGGAAGCGCACGCAGGTGTGCGGTAAGCGCACGCAGGTGTGCGGTAAGTGCACGCAGGTGTGCGGGAAGGTTGACGGAGGAGGGCGCGCGACAGGCGGAGGGGAGGGCACGCGACGGTCTAAGGAGGGCGCGCGACGGTTGAGGAGGGCGCGCGACGGTGGGGGAGGGCGCGCGGCGGTCTAAGGAGGGCGCGCGACGGTTGAGGAGGGCGGGCGACGGTGGGGGAGGGCGCGCGGTGGTCTAAGGAGGGCGCGCGACGGGCTGGACAGCGCGGGAGGGCGCGGGCTAGGCGCGGGGAGGGCGCGGAGGGCGCGGAGGGCGCGAGAGCACGGAGGGCGCGTAGGGCGCGGAGGCTAGCTAAGAACGAACGAGGATCTAACCTACTCGTGATACCATCTCAGAATAGGAATGCAACGGAATGGTTGGAATTAGGGTTTGCAAGGGTACAAATAGGAATCCTACAAAAGCTATACTCTCTAGGGAGTACCTCACTGCAGCCTATCATAACATTGACATTTGACAGAATCCGCCAACAAATCGGACCTCGGACATGTCCAGGCCAGCTGTCCTGGACAGCTGTTAGACATGTCGAGTTGTTCGTCAGTGGCGCGAACCAATCAAAGGTTCTCGCGATCTGGCTGCGCAAGACCAGGTTCCTCGTTATAAAAGTGGAACCCAACACAACTTCAAGCTGGCTTCACTATGTTTTCATACCATGTTTTTATTTTGTTTAGCACATGCATAAATTTCTTTTGTGCCGAGCCATTCGCAGAAGCACGAGTGCAGTACCATAATGAAACTCGGTGCCTGTTGATACAGTCACACATGAAGGAGAGCGCTAGGCACGTGACATCAACCAGCTTGAGAGGTGATTTGCCAAGTACTGTATCCAATAGCTTTTCATCTTTTTTCTAACGATTGAGGATGACGTGGATATGTTTTCTTGACGCAGCTCCAGTTCTAATGAGGTCGTGCCACTGCCACGTAGTGTCTGACTCAGTAGGCAGGGCACGGCACGACACTTGCGTGGGAAACCGAAGCGCTTCGTTCCCCCACGTTCCAAGCCTTCCCCGTATTTCACCGTGTCGCTGCACTGTTGAACGCTTTGGGTTCGGTCGTCCCGTTACGAACCCAGGCCTTGAAACTGAAGAAAAGATTCGCGTCGCTATGCCACTTCCACCCAGTTCTGGAACTGCTTTGATCGGATACTGCTACATTTCTGCAGTGTGCTAAAAGCCCACCGAAAACATCGGGCAGAATGAAAAGCATATCGATGTGACTTTCACTAGCCGCATGATCTTAGCGGCCACATCTTTGGGACGTCTGGAGCCGCCCTTCATAGGTGTCTGTCGTGTTCCGGAGTGCGACATCATCCACCCTGCCGCTATTTTTGCGACGAAGTCTCGTAAGTCGCACGCTCGCGAAACTATGTGCAAAGCACGCCACCTCATGCAACCTCATCGTCACGAAACTTTCGCCAGGATGTTCCGCACAAGTCGCGCAGTCGCCACACCCTACGCGTTTTCACATCCATCGGGCCGTCCGCCGAAGCAAAACCGTAGCATCCCGTCCATCTATCTAACATACGAACACCCATCTTACGTCCATCATGCCCCGCGCCACGACAACTTGGCCATATGGTGAAACATTGCGAAAACAAAAGATTTGCGGGAGAAAAGGGGGGAAGGGGCGCAGGGAGCAAGCAGCGCCCCTTCTGTATTCGGCATTGACGAAACCTAGCCCAGGCAGAATCAGAACGAAGTGGTCGAAGCAGAGAACCAGCAACTGCAACAAGCTGCGCTGTCACCAAACCAAACCCCCGACTCCCCACACCTACCAACCGCTCCTCACCGAACCACGCCCATCTGGCTCATTACATGCCCCTATTTTTTCGACTCCATGTCAAGGTGCGCATTCCGCATCTTTCGCCTCTCCTCATCCGCGCAAGTCACGCGACGGGTCTCCATAATTCCCGGCACCACAACCACCCTCAGAGTACCTACCTGCTCGAGCAGCCTATCCCCGACAGGGCCAGCGCGAAGTGTATTTATTTTAGCTGTCAGCCGTTCACTTTTCCTGCCCCCACGGCCACGGCACGTACTCGTTCATAAGCAGAGAGCGCACGTCGTTTCATCGCATCGCAACCACCCACACCATCCGCGCACGTCCCGCCCTTGCCCAGTCCTTACCTTCTCTCTTCGCCTTCTCCTATCGCATTGCCGTTCTCCTCCATTCGCCTCTTCATCTCGTATCGACATTGACCCCTTGCTCCCCTCCGTTCACTTTACCGCGCGTGCCGCTCCGCCTTTCGCTAGCGGAGGCCCACCCCTTGTTTCCCGCAACGTGCGTGCCACAAGCCTTAGGACCCCTTACAGGGTGAGCCCCTTACAAGAATCCATTCGAAGCCATAGACCTCTGGAGGCACGTTCGAGTGCGTGTTACAAGTCGTAAAGGCGGATTGCGGCGGCTTCGAAGCGTATTCCGTGTAGCAAGCTAAGTTAGAAACTGCGTGTTCCGTGCTGCACTGCGGAACCACGGCGTCACCTGAATGCTCAGGACGGAGCTTGGCTTGTCTTGCGTTACCCGGGTCGACAAGCTTGCAACCGTCTTCAAGCCTTCCCATTCTTTCATTCTTTCCGCCGGTCAGCGGCAACTCTGACGGCCAACGTCATCTCTGAGCTTCCGCATTGCTTTCACCAAGCTTCCACCGGCATTGTGGGTTCGTTCCATAGGGGAATACAGCAAGAATATTCAATCTCCTGGATTGTTAACCAGCCAACAGCCCGTACTCGTTATTGACAGCCTCGCGTCAAGATGCCGCCGAACAGCAGCCCATGGTCGCCCTCAGCGTGTATACCGTCCATCCCAATTCCCGAACTCCGGCTCCCTACGACTGTCGCATGCAAGGATGCGACGTCGCCGTGCGACTCCATCAAGATCGAGGCGAGAAAGAGCGAGCGGGTTACCAGCGGCACGCGATTGGAGCGTTCACCAAGCCAGGCTTACCGGGATTTACTGGCGGATAAATGGTTCGCTTCAGCCTGGTGAGTTGGCGGAAAAAGGGAAGTTTCCAAGCGCAATTCTTAGTGTTCAGGGAATGGCTGGTTGAAGGAAGTTATTATAAATGTGAAATTAGCGAGGGGAGATGAGACGGGGAGTTGAGATGAGCGGACAGGAAAGAAGGGGAATGGGATGCGGAGATATGCGCAAAGAGGGGGGATTTAGGGGGAAACTGGGTAGAAGAGTGGGCAGGGGGGAGCGGGGCCGGGTGTCGCTGGTGGGATGAGAGCGGGAACCAGGGGAGTTGCGGGCGATCGAGTCTAAGAGCGGTTGGGGGAGGGAAGTGGGAAGGAGTTGCCTCGGGTAGAATTGAGCGAGTGAAGAGCTGGTTTGGAGATGTTCAAAGGGATGTTCCCTGCCCTGCCTAAACGTCACCTCACCGCAGCGATGGTCACCACCTAGGAACATCAAATTGTCCACCTTTTCCTCCATCTCTCCCTAAGTCCCCACACATCCTCTTCATTTTTTGTTCTCTCTTTCTTTCTCTTTCTCTCCCTCTATCTCCGTCCTCTCTCGCCTTCTTTTTTCCCCCCATCCCCTTTTCCCCCACCTCCCCCTCTTTCCCCACTTCCCACACACTCTCTCTCCTTCCCTCTCTCTCTCTCTCTCCCACCTTCTTCTCCCCTCACTCTCTATCCCGCTTCCCTCCTCTTTCATGATCATAGCCGCCTGGGTCTGTCGCTCCGCCTTTTCCGTTTTGCAGATGCGTATAGCTCCACTCTGCCTCTGCCGTAGCATGCCTTCGATATAGTTTCAAACACACCAAATCCCTTGTCTCATTACTCTCTCCCCTTATTCCTTCGATCAGGTTCTTCGTGCTTGTGACAATTCTCTCTACAGCGAGTTTTTCATGTTTCTTGATTTTCGTGGGCCTCTTCCCCATTTGGATCATCGTGGAGGTGAGTGCATTGCTCTAGCCTATATCGTTTCATTTATGTAGCCTATATGTAACGCTACATTTCATGCACTCCCAAGTTACCTGTTTTTGTGGACTGGTTCTCTACATGTTCCCTAATATAAAAAGCACATTGTTCTACCATTTCGTGTTCTGCACAGGCGGTGTTCAGATACTTTCGGTACCAACAGTACCGCCAGTATAGCGACAACTTTATCGATCCGCCGCTTCCTTCTATCGAGAACATCTCGCGGCTCCTCGATCATGTCCTCTCTTTGGCGTACGTGCCTTTTTTTGTTCTCCCTTGAAAGCTTCCCCCATCTAGCATTTTTCGTTATATCGGATTTCCTCGGATTTTGTTCCTTTGGTACCTCGGGAATTCCCGTCAACTCGGTTTCCCTCTTTCCATTCTTTCAGTACGCCACCTTGGGAATTGACTGGGTGGGAATCGACTTGTTCGAAGTTGACATTCTTGTCTCCTCATTTGACCATTGTTACCGTTCAAAACTCCTTGACTGTGCAATATCTAGGTCGATTTCCTGTCGAAATTCCAGTTGTTTTTTTCTCGCTCTTTTTCCTTTGATTTCAACTTAGTCCTATTTCTTCTCCTTTCCCTCTTTCCCTGATTAATATTTTTGTTTCTAACCTGTGTCGATTCTAACAGGAAGTACGTGGATTACGAGGAGTTCGTCGGAGGTTGGTTCCTCGGAACGCGAGTTAAAGACCTAACTCGCGAACACGTGCGACAATTCATCTCCTTCGGTTTCTACCACAGGTGATAATTTCCTCTCTATACTTGCATTCTCGATCGAGCTCGTAATACGTACTCCCTGAGTCCGTTTCGAGGGCCTGACACTTCTTGGTCCTCCTCTGACCCGTATTGAAACTCCTGAAAAGTCATACCACAGGTGTCCTTCCTAGAAACTTGCACATGGTACCTCCTGGTTCTCCTCTGAAGCCTTCTTCCCCGTGCTCCGTCTCCCTACCTTCCTTTACCCCCGTTCCGTCTTTTGTCGCTCAGATTTTATAACGAGCTCACTCCGGAATATCAGGAAGCCGTTCGAGGTGCGTGATTAAGAACCGATCCCTTGACTTATTTCTTGAGTCGACTCATAAATCGTTGATTGGTTGACTCGTTTCTATACCCTCTCTTACGTTGTAAGTCGTTTCTTTCACATTTTGTCAGAATGCCACGCTGTCGCCATACCACGCTGCCACCATGCCACGCTGTCACCATGTCACCGTCTCGCTCCACTTCCGGCCTTAACCATCCACCCCCTCGCGTTCTTACCTTCACTTCCTCTTCCTTTTATTTTTTTTCTCCCCCTTCCCCTCTCTCCCTCCTTTCCTCGCACCCACCTTCCCCCCCCGCTTCCAGACCACGTGGTTCGGACAGAGCGCGCCATTGGCCTCATCTTCCCCGAGGTCCTCCCCGCCCCCTCTTCCCCCTCCGCTTCCGCCGCCGCCTCCTCCCCGCCCCTCTCCGCGCGCCCCTCCTCCGCCTATCAACCCCTCCGGGTGCACCCGACCGAGCCAGCTGCAGCCTCGGCAGTAGGTCCGGCAGCAGGTTCGGCGGACACGGCTCCAAAAACCGTCGGAACTTTCCAGGAAGATGACGATGCTGGTTCGGAGAGCGGAGAGGCCGTATATCCATGCACACAGGAAGAGGAGAAAGCAGGAACAGCAGTGGAGGAAAACAGTGCCACTAGTGCGGGCGGCGGTGCTGCTGATTCCACTGCTGGTGTTGATTCGGTTGCTGATGATGCTGATGCGGATGCGGCAGACGCGGCGGCGGCTGTGGTGGGCTGTGCGGGAATGGGCGGGTGGGGGCAGAGGAGGCAGAAGCCCGAGGTCCGATTCATGTCGCACTGCAGGGAACCCATCCGCGCCATTCTGCACCCCTTCATCCTCTACGTCTGGTACGTTTCTTAACGACTGGCCCCCTTTTGAGTCGACTAGGAACCCATCCGCGCCATTCTGCACCCCTTCATCCTCTACGTCTGGCACGTTTCTTAACGACTGGCCCCCTTTTGAGTCGACTAGGAACCCATCCGCGCCATTCTGCACCCCTTCATCCTCTACGTCTGGTACGTTGCTAAACGTCTGGTACGTTTCTTATCGACTGGCCCCCTAATGAGTCGACTAGGAACCCACCCATCCGAGCCGGTCTGCACCCCCTTCATCCTCTACGTCTGGTACGTGCAGTAACGTCTGGTACTTACTGTAACGCCTGGTATGTTTCTGCACCCCACCCCTGCCCCACACACGCAAAGGTCACATGATAGGGTGTCTGACGTGCCTGGCGATGCGCGATCTGGGCTTCACTAAGTACTCGCTTCCTTCCCCCCACCTATTTCCTCTCTCCTTACTCACCCCCCCCTCCACACGCAGGGGTCACATGATAGGGTGTCTGACGTGCCTGGCGATGCGCTATCTGGGATCCAGTTAGACCCTCTCCTCATCCTCGTCTGCTATTTTCCCCAAACCCACCTCACCCCCCATTTCCAACAAAACAGGGGCCACATGATAGGGTGCCTAACATGCCTGGCGATGCGCTATCTGGGCTTTACAAAGCACTTCACCCCTTCCCCTCTCCCTCGCACTTCCTCTCTTCCCACGTGCAGGGGCCACATTATAGGCTGTCTCACCTGTCTTGCGTGTAGTGAGTCGATTTTTGAGTCGACTCAAAAATCGTCTCACCTGTCTTGCCATCCGGTACCTGGGCTTCACGAAGCACTTCACAGCGGACGGGTTCAAGTACTGGGTTAGGGAGCCCCGCCGCCGCTCCTTCTCCTCCACCGCTTTCACCAAAATAAAACCCACTCTCCGCTGCTTCTGCTCACTCGTCCCCTCCCCCCTCCCCTCCTCCGTCTCCCCTTTTCTGCCTCCCCCTTTCCCCCCAACTCCCTTCCTCCCACACGCAGGGGTCACATCATAGGGTGCCTCACAAGCCTCTCAATGCGCTATCTGGGCTTCACAAAGCACTTCACAGCGGACGGGTTCAAGTACTGGGTTAGGGAGCCCAGCCGCCGCTCCTTCTCCTCCACCGCTTTCACCATGATCAACCGACTCTCCGCTGCTTCTGCTGATGCGGAAACCAACGCCAATCGGAGCAGCTGTGATGAGATTGGTAGCAGGGACAGCAATAACAGCAGGGAGAGCACGTATAGTGACAGCAGCAGCAGGGGCATGAGCTTTGGGTGCAGCGGCAGCAGCTTTCGCAGCAGCAGCAGCAGTGACAGCAGCAGCAGCAGCAGCGGGAGCAGGGAGAGTGGTGGAGTGTACCCTGCATATTCGAGTGTAGCTGGTGGGAGTGTGGATTATAGTGAGGATGAGGAGGAGGGGGTGGTGTTTGTGCATGGGCTTGGGATTGGCCTCACGCCGTACCTCGGGTTTATCGGCATGATGAAGAGGACGTACCCTAACAAGGTTAGTACACTTCTGTTTATATCTTATAATGCGTATAATACTATAGTGAGGATGAGGAGGAGGGGGTGGTGTTCGTGCATGGGCTTGGAATTGGCCTCACGCCTTACCTCGGATTCATTGGCATGATGAAGAGGACATACCCTAACAAGGTCAGTACAATATTGATAATGCCTATTTCTTATGGGCGAGGATGTGGTCAAGGGGGTGGTGTTTGTGCACATGGGCTTGGCATGGGCCTCACTCCTTGCCCATTTTCAACTCTGACGTCATTTCACCCCTGTATTGCCTTTCTCACCCGTCCTCCTCCCATCCAATCGCCGTCCCCCTAATCTCTGCAGAAATTCATAGTGGCGGAAATGCCTCATCTCGCCTTCCGCCTCTCCTCGGCCTCACCAAACATTGACGACATTGTGAGTTGTGCTTTCCACTCTGTGCCTCATGACATATTGTGTGTTGTGCCTTATGCCCTGTGAGACGTGCCTTGTGCCTTGTGACTTGTGGGGGGCCTTCCCTCTCTACCCCCTCGCCGCCTCTCCTCCGCCTCTCCTCACCAAACATTGACGGCATTGTGAGTTCGGCCTTGTGCCTTGTGCTGTCTGCTTGTGAGTTGCGCCTTGTGCTTTACGGATTTTGTGTAGCCTCCCCCTGGGAACTCAATGGTCCTCTTTTCTCTAAAAAAAAATGTTTTTATTCATTCATTTCTTTAATCGTTTATTGATTGTTTCCATCCCTTTTGTGTACAGGTGGCGGGACTAGCAGACGCTCTCCAAACGCAGGGACTCAAGAGGGCCACGTTCGTCGGCCACTCCTATGGCACCTTCGTGCTCGCACAGGTGATTATAACGAGTGGGAAGGAGGTGACTATAACGAGTGTTGAGCAGGTGATTATAAAGAGTGGAGAGGAGGTGATTGTAACGAGCTGGTGTGACTGGGTGTTTATAATGAGGTTGATTCACTCTGACTGCTGCAAGCCATCATTCACATCATCTCTCCTTATTTTGAAACGTTTTTTTTTTGTTTTTTTTTTAGACGTCTCAAAACTCGATCCACTCTGACTGCTGCAAGCCTCATTCCCATCGTCTCTCCTTATCCCTCTCCCTCCTTCCCCTCTCGCCCTCTTCTCTCCCTGCAGTATGTGCGCAAGCACTTCAGCACGGTGGCAGCACTAGGCCTCATGGACCCTGTCTGCTTCCTCCTCTGCATCCCCAAGACGCTCCTCAACATGATTTACAAGTGAGTGCTTGTTATTATTGTGAGACTGAGTGGGGTCACCATGTCTGCTTCCTCCTCTGCATCCCCAAAACACTGCTCAACATGATTTACAAGTAAGCATCGAATATTTGAATGTAGAATCAAAAATTAATTCTGGTGTACAGTGAGTGCCTCCCTCCCTACCCTTGTATCCCCGGATCCCTTGTCCTAAATTGCATGGACTGCTCGAGAACTCTGTTTTGAGTCGACTCAAAACACGACTCATTACACATTGTGCGCAGCGCAGTGGCTGGAGCACTCTGTCTATCCGTCCTCTCATGCTCCCGCCCTGCCTATCCTCCCGCCTTGGTGTGTGTCTGCTCCCAGGACCCCAGAGAACATAATGGATGGCTTAAGATGGTTCTTCTGTGCGAAGGAGCTACAGGTGGCTGGTGGTTTTGTCTACCTGCCGTCTCATGCTCACTCCCTGCCCCCCTTGGTGTGTGTGTCTCTCGCTGCTCCCAGGACCCCAGAGAACATAATGGACGGCTTGAGGTGGTTCTTCTGCGCGAGGGAGTTGCAGGTGGCCCGATCGCTCTCCCGGAACTTTGACTGGTGAGACTAATGCTGGCACAAATTTTCAGGAATCCACAGATGCCATTTGAAAACCCTTGTGAGTGCATGCATGCATGCATGCTGTTTCCAGGCATCCCAAAAACTGATGATGCTAACAACGAAATCTCCCTTTCCCCTTGCTATTCCCCCTCTCTTTCCCCCTATTTCCTCTCCCCCTCTCCTCCCCTCGTGCAGGCATGCATGCATGTTGTGGCCTGAGGAGATGCCACGTCAGCAATCAGTGGTGCTAATGGGCGGCCGGGATCAAATCGTGCCATCCAACCACATCAAAACGTATGTCCCCCATGCGCTGTAATAATCACATGTGCTGTGCTCTCTATAATCATGTGTGCTGCTTTTTCTTATGAAAATACACGAGCATCACATGTAGTCTGCATTTATCACCACTGCAGCATCGCATCTGGGCCCACTGCAGTGCCCTCTTTTCTGCCTCTGGTGGTACAGGGCAGGATCTCATCTGAGCCCTTCAATATTAGCACATTCCTTCTAGAACCTAGTCACAGCTGTCTCTCTCTTTCTCTTCCCCCCCTTCCCCCCCTCTTCCTGTCCTCACTGCAGGATGCTGACAGAAAAGGGTGTAGAGTTCATCTATAATAAGACGTACCAACATGCACAAGTGTTCTTGTCTTCCTTCCCCTGACCTTCCCTCTTCTTCCCTGTCCTTCCCTCTGTCTGCCTGCCTCCCCTCTCCTCTCGCCTACTGCAGGATGCTCACTGAGAAGGGTGTTGAGTTCATGTATAATGAGACGTACCAACATGCACAAGTGCTCTTCAGGTAAGAGAAAAACCGTTGTCCTGATTGTACTTCCTTTGTGCACACTTTCACTCTCTGCCCAATGGGTATCCATCCATCCTTTCACATGTTTGCATGCCTCAGTAACCCTGTACACCCTGCCACATTTTCCCCATTTTTACCCTGATTTTCATCATCCCCTTGCCTTTTCTTCCCTCGTTATTACAGCGACACCAAGCAACGGGAGTTTTTGACACGTCTCATTGCTGCCCGAGCCACAGCTGACCAATAAAAGCACTCGAGGAAGTTCTACGGGCAGTGTTTTGTTTTACCGCTCTGCCCGGCCAACTGGGCAGGGTGTTTACACGGGATGACTAATCTGGGTGGTGCGTCGACAACAGTGCATCGACTGATCAATAGCAACGGTTGGAGAAGCTTCTAGGTTAGGCCATGGGGGGAAATAGCTACCCTCTGCTTAGTATGTCTAGCGCGTAAATAGGTTAGTCGGTTCAAGTCCCTCTTGCATGTAGCTGCTCTTTTGTGCAACACATGTCTTATTATCAAAAGCTGCTTGGAAATAAAAGTAGCATCAATGGATGCATAAAAAACCTAGCATCGCTTCCTCCTATCATCATGGGTGAAGGAATATTATTGTTGTAATCTACAATCACAACTGTACATCGACTGCTAGAGTCCCACTTTTACACTAGCGCCAACAAGCAACCTCCTCCAATTTTAGGGTTCCACTCATCGCCGACCCTGCTATTTTCCCTGCTTCTACGACTCTTGAGGCGCCTCGAAAGTCTTTTACGCTCCAGAAGTAGCCGGCTCGTAGTCGTCGTCGTCTTCCAACGCGGCCCGCGTTTCCGCTGCACGTACTTTATTCGACAACGCCTTAGGCTGGATAGAATCACTAGTAGCACGAGCAGTAGAAATCGCACGAGTAGTGGTATCACTCCCAGGCTTATTTTGTTGTTGACTTTTCTTGGAAGGCAACCCTGTGAGGAACTCCCGTACTCTGCGAACGAATCTTCCGCCCACCGTGTTCCCGCCAGATTTCGGCGCTTTGGGTTGCGAGCCGTCCAATTTCACGCCGCTGTTTTCCCGCCTCAAGAAAATAGTTTTCCCGCTCCGTGCGCCCACCAGCCGGCCCACCTCTTGAGTTCGCACGCTCGCGAAAGTCAAACTCCTTCGCACGCTGACGTCCTTTGAGTCGCCCGCCCGTTCGCGACGACCGCGATCGTCGACTGACGATGTCGCATTGCTTGTAGAAGAGGGTGGCGTGGTGACTATAGCGCGGGCTTCAGCTTGTGCTGCACCGCCCCTCGTTATTGTCACAGTAGCATCACCGGGAGTAACTACTGTCCCACCCGCAACATTGTCTGGCACTATAAGACCAGCTACAAGGCGTCGGCGAAGAAATATAAAGTGGTTACTCCGTTTCGACCGCAGCGAACCTTCGCGAGTCGTCGTCTTGCTGGCGAAAGATGGTTCAGAGTTTGTCGCCATCGCCCCCGCGTGGAAAGGGCTCCTGTGAGAACCGAGGTCCGGGATAACGCACACCAATAGCAGCAGCAGCACCTCGGGGAGAAAAATCCCTAGCGTCCCTCTTCGGAATGCTGGCAGCGCCATTGAGACTGTAAAATGCTCTCTTTATGGGATGTTTGAGCTTCAAAAGCAAATTCGCGTAGGTCAGGCTCGGAAGTCGAAATTTGAGAGACTTGGGAAGATGGTCGATTAGAGACGGATGTGAAGGTAACGCTCGTTATAACGCTGATGATAAAACCGAACGAAGGTTTTTTAGGTCATGCGGTATCGCCTGGTGAAGCGGCTGACTGTTTCTCACTATGGTTTTTGTGCGAGGCCCACTAACTGAGGTTCTAGTAGATTCGGAAAGTCACCGTCACCTGGTGCTGAAGGGACAGCGCCTGGCTCAAGGGCTGCTACAATCAAGGTGCCTTTTGATTATGAATCACAAGTATCGTCGCTGGATTCGGTGCGGAATTGTGAGGTTTGGGATGAAGGGGATGTCATGACGCGAAATTGAGGTATGTTGACAGAGAAGGAGGTGGCAGGAGAAATGCAGCGACGGGGAAAACACAATTGGGCTGGCTACGATGGGAGAAGTGCTTCAAATTGCACTGGTTTGCATAGGTAGCGATGTTTTTCGAAGCAGGGAGTTATGGAGTTCGATTCCTAAATATGGCCGACGAGAAAGGAGCTCAAGAAGGATGGACGAATGGGAGAGGCGGGAATATTAGGAGGCATAATCGGGGCGCGAAGCTCGCATCGCGTCTATGAACTGGCTTCAACGTGCATTACTGTACAACTGCATGTACTTCACGACAAGCTCAAGTGTTGGGCCCACACTCCACAACAAGCCCATTATCTAAGCCGTCGATTTCACAAGTTTAGCAGGATCTGGCTGTCATCAGTTTGTGTTACATGGTAACTAGGGTTTGGCAAGCATTCAAGAGCTGGTGCGGTGCTCGGGATGGAGTTCCCGCCTGACTAGAAGCTTGACGAAGAAACAAGGCGAAACATGCGCATGGATGCGAACCGGCGTTTCGTCATTCTTCGTGCACAAGCCCCACTTCAGGACGCGTTGAAAGTGCAAATATCGCAGGATCGTCTGCATATATCGATCCCCACAATCGAGTGGGCAGATCGTTTGGCGAAACGTGGCGACCGCGGCGTTGTAACGATCGCGGCTGAAAATTGACAGATTTCCCGCGAACAGTGATCAGTCGCATTCTCACACTGTACAGAAAATTTGGCCAGAAAGCGGACTGTAGCATAGTTACAGCTAAGCTAATAGGGTAACCGATCCGCACATCGATCGCGACTGACGATCGTTCGTCTACTTTCTCCGCGTCCTCAGCAAACGCGTTTGCTTTGTTGACAAACGTTTCTTCTAGCGAGCTGTTTGAATGCGGTGTATCTATCACAGACCATGATCAAACTCCTTTTGGTGGTTTGCCTTTTCTCCCTTTCCCCTCGCCACAGGGTTTCGCTCACCAGCCTTGGGGTTTTCATTCTCCCTCATTCCCACAACCCGCATTTGGGGTTTCGCTCTTCGTCCCCTCGCTCCTCCTCGTCAAACCCTAACGGCAAAATCAAGCTCCATTCATCATCTTTCAGGCATTCGCGTACATGATCCCTTTTCAGCTTTCTCTTTTCGACATAGGTAGGAGGAAATCGGGGTTTCGCGTCTGACCTCACATTTTCTCTCAGACCCCCACCAAATTCGTACTCCCCCTCGAGATCTCGGTGCATCAGGCGACGCGAGGTCGTCCCTGTGAAAGCGTCAGACTGAAGCCTTTTCAATCAGGTAATGTCTAGACGATGCCAAATCTTCCCAGTAGTGCCGGCAGACGGCCCGTCGACTTTTTAGCGTCGCTTCTTTTTAGGACCGGCAGAGAAAATCCGCCAGCTATGGAGTCCACCCATGCTAACCCTAATGCCGTGTCAGTTGCTACGGTTCTCATTTCCGGGTCCTGTAGTTTATTTATCGGGGAAGTGTATACCGGTGCTGTTGCTGACGTGGACATTACCTGTCGTTTCAGGTCCTTTGTAGCAGAGATACGTCGCTATGGACCCCTCAGAGCTCCCGTCGCCGTACGATCTGCCAGGTGGCACGGCCGGATTCGACGACGCGGATGGACGCTCAGGATTCCCTGGCGCCGTCCCGATGTATCCTCCTCCTCCACATCATCTGTCGTATCATCATCCAGTTCCGTTGATTGAGGCCGATCGGTACGCCGTGAATTACGGCGTGCATCCCGCCGCGCATTCCGCCGCGCATCACGGCGTGAATCACTCCCTAGTCGTGAATGTGGATGAGGATGAGGAGGACGAGGAGGAAGAAGCGGCTCGACGTCACGATGCTGACGTGGCAGATGGAGCGGAAGCGCAGATCGCGGATCCGTCAAGATATGAAATCCCGCGAAACGCGCTATCGCCTTTCGAGGCGTCTCAACTACCGCCGTACGGTTTCAGTTCGGAGTACGGTTCGCACGGCGCGAATGATCGGCATTCCAGGCCTATAACGGGGATGCATCATCACGCACACTTTCTATACACGTACCCTCCTTATATGCACATCCCGTTTCACGCACATCCCGGTGCTGGTTCCTCAGGCCCCATACCTCCCCCCGCTCCTCATGAAGGTTCCAGTATGGGTTTCGCATACGATCCTTCGCGATCGCTGGTTACCAGTTACAATGCGGGTTACCACCACCATGCTCCGCCGGCGCCGGCGCATGTGATGCATCCTGGACCGTTGGATCCGGTAATGGGGATTCATCACCACCGCACGATGGAGCAGCAGGAATCCATGGAGCAGCATAGGTCCATGGCGCATCATGGGTCGATGGAGCATGTATCTAGGCCATATCATGATGGGGAAATTAGCATGGATCATCATTATCACCATCATCACCATCAGCATCATCACCACCACCACCACCATCACCACACTTCAGTTGGGGATACGATGGGGCTTGATCCATGGCCGCCGCGTTTACCGCCGCAATTGACGCCGCAGCTGGCGCTGCCGTTAGCACCGCACCTGATGCTAGAATCTGGGCCGGAGTGTCGCGACGATGCTGACGTGGCGTTGAGACATGCGAGTGATCCTGATGTGCTGGCAGATGGGGGGACAGAAGCTGATGTGGTGGTTGATACAGTGGGGTATGACTATATCGAGGATGAGCATCAAGCGTCGGATCAGGGACTCGTTATAAGACAGAGCGTGCAGGCAGTTCAGGACACGGACGAGCTGAAGCGGTCAGACGAGCAAGAAGAGAGACGAAATGATATGCTAGAGGACGCAGCTCCAGCGCGAGTTCAGGTGCAAGCGCAGGAGGCGCAGGCGCAGGCGCCGGTGCAAACTCAGGTGCAGGTGCAAGCGCAGGTGCAAGCGCAGGCGCACGCGCACGCGCAGGCGCAGGTGCAGGCGCAGGTGCAAGCGCAGGGGCATGCTTATGGATACGCACATGCGCATCTGCAAGGGCGCGAACAGGACGTGTACGATAGTGAGCTTATAGCGGATCACGTGTCTAGGCTTGTAGCGGAGCATGCACTAGTCGAGCAGGGGGAGGACGAGCGGAAGGGAGAGGGGGAGGCGGGCGGGCAGGGAGAGGAGATCGAGCTTAGAATAGAGGTCGAGGGGGAAGGGGACGAGGGGGGGAAAGGGGACGGGGGGAGTCAGGGGTCAGAAGATGCGGAAAGGGGAAAGAGAATGGATGGACAAGAGGGAACGGAAGGAGGAGAAACGGAGGCGGGGGGGGAAATGGAGAGGGGAGGGGAAATTGACGCAGGAGGGGAAATGGCGGAGGAAGGGGGAATGGAGGGGGAAGAGGGGCCGGATATCGAATTGGAGCTAGTTATGGGGGATGCTGGGCTGGACGATGCGGAGATATTTGTGGGACAGCTGGCTGCTGATGTGGCGAACGTCCGTGCAGCAGACGGCCACGTGGCAGGAGCCGAATGGCAAGCCATGCATGAGGATTTATCCGCGCCACAGTATGGTGCAGAGTTGTCAAAAAGCGGGACTCTAGCATCAGACGAAAGTGGCAAAGGGATAGCAGCGAGGCAGGTAGAAGCAGTTAGCGAGGAGCGTAATAAAGAGTATGCTACAGATTTACCTGCAAGCAGGTCTCTAGCAGTACTTGAAGAAAGGGGCATCGGTGAAGGGGAGGCAGCAGCAACACGAGTAGCGGCTGCAGCAGGGAGGGTAGCACTTGAAGCAGCAGCAGCATTACCAGCATCAGCAGTGGGAGGAGCACCGACAGTAGCAGCAACTCCAGAAGCAGCAGCAAGACAGATAGTAGCACCGTCAGCAGGAAAGGTGACATTTGAAGCAGCAGCAGGGCAGATAGCGTCTGAAGCAGCTCCAGCAGTAGCAGGAGCACCAGCAGCAGCAAAACTATCAGCGGAAACAGCAATTGCAGTAGGAGTAGTGCCAACAGTCGCAGGAGCAGCAGCTTCAGGAGCAGCAGCAACAGAGGTAGCAGCTCCAGCAGGGCAGGCAGCTTCTGAAGCATCAGCAGGTGCAGTGGCTCCAGAAGCTGCAGCAGGAGAGCCTGATGTGACAATAGCAGACGTGCCTGTAGAGGATGTGCCAGTAACGGGCGCGCCTTTCATGGACGTGCCTTTAAAAGATGTGTTGTTAACGAATGTGCCAGTAACAGGCGGGCCTCTAGAGGACGTGCGAGCAGCAGCAGCTGGGGGAGGCGAGGAACGGTTGACAGGGGAAAGGGAGACACGTGCTCCTGCTGCTGCACCTTCGGTTGCTGCCGCTCCTACTCTTCCTCCCACTCCTGCTGGTGCTGCCACCCCTACCGCTGCTGCCGTTTCTGCCACCCTGATTGCTGCTGTTGCTACCACTGTTGCCACTCCTGTTGTTGATGCTGTTGCTGCTGCCACCATGGCCCCTGTGGCAGTTGTAGCAGGCGTTGCAGGGGAAGCTGCTGCTACCCCTTTTCTTCCTGCTGTTCCTGCTGCCCCTACTGGTCCTACTGTTCCTGCTGTTCCTGCTGCCGCTACCGCTCATACTTTTCCTGCTGCTCCTGCTGCCCTTACTGCTGCAGCTGCTCCTGCTATGAGGGAACCTGTTGCGGTGGGAACAGGTGGTGCAGGGGAGGCTGTGCGTGGCAGAGTGGAGGGAATAGCAGAAGCAGAATCTGCAGTAGCTGCGTCAGAGGGGATTTGTTGGGCAGTACCCACTCCAAGAGATTTGTTGGCAGTGGAGGCATGCGGTGCAGGTTCAGCTGCTGCAGCTGCAGCAGCGGCAGCGACTGTAGCAGAGCGTGCTGTGAGTGCAAGTCTGGGACGTGCTGTAGCGACAACGCCAGCAGCAGCAGAGGCACTGCAGCAGGCAGCACCTTTAGAAGAGAGAACATCCTCATCAGCGGTAAGTACAGCAGGTGCAGCAGCAGCAGCAGCGGCTGTAACAGAGCGTGCAGTAACTGCACCAAGTACAGTACCTGCTGTGGTGGCAAAAACAACAGCTACAGCTGCACTACAGTCAGCACCAGTAGAAGCGATGGCATTGGCATCAGCACCTGGAATAGCAGTAGGAGCAAGGAGTGTAACAGGGTGTGCAGAAGGTGCAAGTATGAGACCTTCTGTAGTGAGAACAACAGCAGCACCAGTGACAGCAGCTGCAGCAGCAGCAGCAGCGGCTGTATCAATGCGTGCAGTAGGTGCAAGTATGGTACCTGCTGTAACGACAACGCCAGCAGCACGAGGGACAGAAGCTGTAGGTGCAGCAGCAGAGACTGTAGCAGAGCATGCAGTAAGTGCGCCAAGTACAATACCTGCTGTAGTGGCAATGCCAGCAGCACCAGGGGCAGCAGCAGCAACAGCAGAAGCAGCAACATCGACTGTAGCAACGCGTGCAGTAAGTGCAGGTACAGCACCTGTTTTAGTAGCAAAACCAGCAGCACCATTCTTAGCGCCTTTAGAGCCACTAGAAGCCGGAACATCACCAGTGCCAGGGGCGGGAGGAGCGACAGGGGCGGCAGGGGCGGCAGGAGGGGTAGCTGGAGCAGGTGACACAGCAGAAGTAGTAGCAGCAGCAGCAGCAGTGCGGCAGGTAGCATCAGCATTATCAGAGGTAGCAGCGCCTATGGCAGTTTTCACCAGTGCAAGCGCGGAAAGCACAGAGGTGGAGAGACCGGGGATATCTGGGGCAGCAGTAGCTGGGGCAGCAGCAGTTGGGGCAGCAGCAGCAAAAGAACGAGGTGTGGGAGGACCAACGACACGAAAATCCTTACAAGGAAGGTTCCCTGCAGCAGCAGCTGCAGTAGCTAGGGAAGGTGCAGCAGCTAGAGACGCGGCTGTAGCTAGAGCATCACCACAAGCCACACTTGCTGCAGCTACAGTATCTGGGACGGTTTCAACTAAAGCATGGCCCGTTTCAACTTCCCATGGGACAGCCAGAACGATTTCAACTGCAGCTGTAACTGTTCCTGGGAACAAGATGACACCTGAGGAGTTGGAGATTGACATGAGGGATTTCCTGAGCAACAGAGCCAGGTGGGGTCAGGTGGAGAAAGGAGGCGCGTCCATTGCCCACCTGAGAATCTACCTGAGGGGTCTGAGGCGAGAAGGCGACCCAAAACTAGAGGTAAGGAGAGAAAACCAAGCAGGACTTGTTCTCTCGCATGGGCTCACTCTCGAAGACATCAAGCTGGAGATGCTCTCAAGCAGGGCATGTTCCACCCCTCTCCACCCCTCTTCACCCCTCTCCACCGCTCTCACAGCTCCTGCAGGACATGTTTCTCTCACACGGGCCAACTCTCGAAGACATCAAACTTGAGATGCTGTCAGTCGTGCAGCTCTTCGCCACCCTCGTCAGCGCCATGCACGCTCATCCTTTCCACTGCTCTCTGCCACTCTCCACCCCTCCCCATCCCCCCTCCACCGCTCTGCACTCCTTTCACCAGCACCTGCAGGACATGTTTCTCTCACACGGACTAACTCTAGAAGACATCAAACTCGAAATGCTCTCAGTCGTACAGCTCTTCGCCACCCTCGTCAGCCACTTGCACGGCCTCCCCCTATCCACAGGCTCACTCTTGTTCTCCACCCCTCTCAACCGCTCTGCCCTCCTTTCTCCAGCAACTGCAGGACATGTTTCTCTCTCATGGACTAACTCTCGAGGACATAAAGCTGGAGATGCTATCAGTCGTACAACTCTTCGCCACCCTAGTCAGCCCCGTGCGAACCGGAGCGAAAAACAAACCCAAACTCCTCACCATCATTGCGACCTCCGAGCCTTGGAACAGACCTCACGCTATGGAGAAGCGGCTCGTTGCCGCGGCTGTCACTGGGCCTGTCCCGGGCGTGCCACCGGAGCTGGCCGCCGCGGCTGCGGCGCAGGTTCGGGTGGGGGAGGAGGAGGTTCGGCGGTATGGCGGGATGCTGGAGCGGTTTTTGGAGAGTCCGAGGGAGTGGAATCTGGTGGATCACCGGGGGGAGTTTCAGTTCAATGCTATTTTCGCATTCCTGCGCAAGGCGCATGTGTGCGAGCCGCTGTTGCTGCAGGTGAGGCTGCAGTAGGAATGCAGGTTCATATGGTTTCATTAAGGATTTGTATGTTTCAGGGTTTAGGGCCTTCTTCAGAGTCCGAGGGAGTGGAATCTGGTGGATCATCGGGAGTGGTTTCAGTTCAATGCCATCTTTGCTTTCCTGCGCAAGGCGCATGTGTGCGAGCCGCTGTTGCTGCAGGTGAGGCTGCAGTGGGAATGCAGGTGAGGCTGCAGTGGGAATGCAGGGTTGTAGGGTTTCAGGTTCTGCAAGCTCAGGGCTTAGGGTTTCTGGAAAGTTTGAGAGAGTGGAATCTGGTGGATGATCGGGGAGAGTTTGAGTTCAATGTTATTTTCTTGTTACTGCACAAGGCACACGTGTGCGAGCCACTGTTGCTGCTGCAGGTGAGACTGCATTCCAAGGTTCAGGTGTTAGGGAGGGTTTTCGACTCTAATGGACTACCGGGGGGGGGGGGGGGGTCGGTTCAATGCTATCTCTGGTTCCTGCGCAAGGCGCATGTGTGCGAGCCGCTGCTGCTGCAGGTGAGACTGCATTGGATTGGATGCAAGGTCTGGTTGTCAGCGATTAGCAGGTTTAGCAGGTGCGTGCTAGGGTTTTTGCATTCCTGCAAGTTTTGGGTGCTCGTGCTGCTCTTGGTGCTTCCCGAGTGTATTATCAGGGAGTGGATTACAGAGTTGAAACTTGAACTTCGTCTATCGGAGTGCAAGAAGTGGGTGGCACCACACCCAACCGTTGCTCTCCTCATCCTTCTCTCTCCACCCCCCTCTTTCTCCATTCCCCACAGCACTATCAAAGCCTCTTCTTGCCCTGCACGATCTGCGAGCGTGCAAGAAGTGGGTGCTCATGCTGCTCGCGCTGCTTCTTTCCCCTTCAACCCGCTCCCCCCTCCCCCCTGAAACCACAGCACTACCAAAGCCTCTTCTTCGCTCATCGCCTCACCCTGCACGATCTGCGAGCGTGCAAGAAGTGGGTGCTCATGCTGCTCGCGCTGCTGCTGGGTTTCTCCGGCCGCCTGGACGAGCTGAACAAGAAAGACCTCGTGCAGGCTATAGCTTCAACAGACGCTTGGAAGGAGTATGAGATGAGTCGGGAGACGCGTCCGAATCGACAGTGCGGTGCAAAACAGTGTGGTGCGGTTTTAGATGGGCGGCTTGAGAGTGCTAGGGGTGTCGGAGGGGCGCAGGCGAATGGGGCCTTGGAAAGGAACGAGGGGAGCAGGGCAGCTGGGGGTGAAAGCGGAGAACGAGGGAGTGCAGGGGAGGGAGGAATGGTAGAGATGGGTTCAGGGGCAGGAGCAGGAGCAGGAGTAACAGCAGCAGGAGCAGCAGCAGGAGCAGCAGGAGCAGCAGCAGCAGCAACAACAACAGCAGTGGCAGCAGGGCGGGATGCTGGGATTGTAGCAGACAGGGGAAGCACACATGCGTCTACCCCTGCTGCTGCTTCTTCATCATCTCCTCTTCCTCCTCCTGATGCTAACCCTTCCGCTCAACCTGCTTCCGCTCCACCTCCCCATAGCCCTGTCACTAATGGCACCACGAATCATATTCCTTTGACTCATGCTAATAATAGCACTGCCCCTGCTATTATTCGGAATACTGCCAACAATGCCGATAAGAGCAATGATGCCGATAATGGCAATTACTCCAGGAAAAGGTCTGCTCCAGGGAGAATCCGGCCAATCAAATGCGCCCGTCTGCTGCCGACCTCCCGCCAGGACCGGTCGGCGTTCCTCCTCCGCGTCCGGCAGGCGGGGGACGACGAGCTGGGCGGCGTGCTTCGGCAGTTTCTGGAGGATCCTAAGCACTGGGCGTGTGCTCTGAAAGGGGGCGTGGTTGTAACGAGACTGGGGAAGTTTATAAGGGAGATGGCGGAAAACAACCCAACGATGCTGGAGGTGAGTGAGCGAGCGTGCGTAGGCCTTTCTGTGCATTGTAACGAGGCATTGTACTTTTCGGTATGAACGAGGCGAGGCGGGAGAAGAGTGGCTCTCGCTCGCACTCAACCCTCCCTTGTTCAACCCTGCCATTTGCACTCCCTTCCATTTGCATATTCACCTTCTCCCAGCCGTACCAGCAGGCCTTCTTTGCTCACGGCATTGGCATGAACGAGGTGAGGCAGGACAAGCGTGGCTCATGCACTCCTCAACCCTCCCTTCCTTACCTAGACCCTGCACTTTGCACTCCCGTCTACTCGCATGTTCTCCTTTTCCCAGCCGTACCAGCAGGCATTCTTTGCTCACGGCATCGGCATGAACGAGGTGAGGCGGGAGAAGAGAATTCTCCCTCTCAAACTCGATCCTCGTTTCTTAGAAGTAACTTCCACTCCCTTTCCCCTCCCCCCGCACCAGCCGTACCAGCAGGCCTTCTTCGCCCACGGCATCGGCATGAACGGGTTAAGGCGGGAGAAGAGTCCTTACCAGTGGCCCGTTCCCCAAACCCCACTCCTTGCATTCCCTTCCTGTCACCTCTTCTCCCCCCAGCCGTACCAGCAGGCCTTCTTCACCCACGGCATCGGCATGAACGAGTTAAGGCGGGAGAAGCGGACGGCCCTGGAGCTGTTTGCATACCTCATGGGAGTCACAGGTAACGTGGCGGAATGGTAACATGGTAACATGGTAACATGGTAACATGGTAACATAGACTGACATGTCTGATTTAGAGGTGGGAGAAGCGGACAGCCTTGGAACTCTTTGCATACCTCATGGGATTCACAGGTAGGTGCAGGGGCAGGCGTATGGTAGCATGGTAAAGTAACCCTTAAGGATATGACTGGCTACGAGAATGGTAAGGTATCCCTTAAGGATATGACATGTCTGTCTGACCACGAGAAGCTTACTGCCTCTTTGCATACCTCATGGGAGTCACAGGTAGTGCAGCAGCATATCATGGTAACATGGTAACACAGATTCGACACGTCAGATTTAGAGGCGAGAGAAGCGCACGGCACTGGAGCTGTTTGCAAAATTGATGGGAGGCATGTGGTGTGGTTACGTGGTTACATACATGTCCTCATGTCACCTGAGGTGAAGGAAGGGGGACGTAGAGAAGGGGTTCGTAACAAAAGGGCCTGCTGAACAAGAAGAGGGGGGGTTGAGGGGTTGAGGTAATCATAGAGGAAAAGAGGACACACGAAAGGGCATGGCATGTCAATACATAGGATGTTGGAAAGACGGTGGAGGGATAAATTCACTGTCGACCGATCAGTCAGACTGTCTCCCAGCTCCTTCTCCCCAACCCCCTATTCCTCCCTTCTGCTCCTGCCCCGCCCCTTGTTTTTATTGCCATTCTTCAACCCCCTTGCTCCCCCTCAGGCAACATGCGGGCATGGAAGAAGCATCGGCTTCTAAAGATCATATCCGAGATGCCAGCCTGGCAGGTTCATGCGACGCGATTGGACGAGATGGGCTTGGGGGAAGGCGGGGGGAAGGGGAGGTGGGTGGGGAGGAGAGGTGCTGGCGGGGAGGGTAATGGGGAAGGCGCAGGGGAGGGTTACTTGGGAGCTGGTACTGGGGAGGCTGGAGAGGCGAGGTATGGGATGGATAGGGGAGCAGGCGAAGAGGGGGAGGAGGGGGAGGACGAGGAAGGGGAGGAGCAAGGGGAGGAAGAAGGAGAGGAAGGAGATGAGGGAGGAAGAGAGGAAGTAACCGGGGGAGAAGAATTCAGGGAGAGTGAGGGGCAGGGTCAGGGGATCTTGAGGGGTCAAGGGGAGGGATCAGCAGCAGCATCTGTAGCGGCAGGTGCAGTGCCGTTGGCAACAGCTGTAGCAGGAGAAGCAGCAGCAATGGCTGTAGCTCCGGAAGAGGCTGGGCTTGGGACTGCAGCTGCTACAGCAGCAGCATCTGTAGTGGCAGGAGCAGTGCCGTTGGCAGCAGCTGTAGCAGGAGTAGCAGCAGTGGCTTCTGCAGCAGCGGTGTTGGGGAGTGGAGAGGCGACAGTGGAGGGATCTTTAAGCGGAGCAGGAGAAGGCTTACCGGTTGTAGCAGTAGCAGGAGATTTACACGTACCTGTAGCAGCAGCTGTAGCACCGTTTGTAGCAGCAGGAGCAGCAGCAGCAGCAAGTGCTGGTTTTGAGTTGGCTGAGATAGCGCCTGTAGCTGCAGCTGTAGCAGCAGCAGCTGTAGCAGCAGCAGCTGTAGCAGTTGAAGCAGGGTTTGGTGGGGGCAGCAGCAGGGGCAAAGGCCGGCGATGGGAGTGGGTTGATGGGTGGGGAGAAGAGTACCGGAGAAACGCGGAAAGGAACGCGGAAGCTCTTTCTCTAGTGTCTTTGGAAAATGCAGTCGGTGTGTTGGGCTGTTCTCGTTGCCTGCCTATCTCTGGTCTGGTTCAACTGCAGAGAGGGGAGGAGCAGAGAGGGGAGGAGCAGAGGAAGGGTAATCTTGAGAACGCGGCTCTGGAGATAAGGGAGAATGAGGCGAAGGTGGGCATTGGGTGTGAAAAGTGGAGGGAGGAGGGTGAGGAGATGGAGGAGAATGGGGATGAGAGGAGAGAGAATGGGGAGAAGAAGGGTGAGGAGAAGGGGAAGGAGGAGAAGGGGGAGGAGAAAAGGGAGGAAACGGGGGAGAAAGGGGAAGGGAATGAGGATGCCGTTATGACGACCTGTACATCGGATGAATTGGCATATTTGAATGGGCTGGATGGAGTGGAGAAGGGGGAGAGAAGGGAAGGGAATCAAGCGCTCACCAGGACAACCTGTGGGATGGTTGAATCAGCAATTGATTTTACATTCGAGCCAGCAGTAGGATCAACAGGGCCACTAGAGGCTGCTGTATTGGACGAGTGCAAGGCGAGGGAGGAGGGCAGGCGTGGTGGTAGGCTGTGTGAGGATCAAGAGAGGGGCGCTCCCTCGCCGCAGCTGCTGCCATCTCAAGCAGCAGAAAACGCAGATACGGCACCAGCAGCACTGGCAACAGCAGCAGCATCAGTTGCCGTGCAAGTGACAGCAGCAGCATCAGTTGCCGTGCAAGTGACAGCAGCATCAGTTGCCGTGCAAGTGACAGCAGCAGCATCAGGACCTCAGGATACAGCACCAGAAACTCCAACTTCAGAGGCAGTAGCAGCACAAGCTGTAGCGCCAGAGGCTGTAGCAGCACAAGATGTAGCTGCTGCAGCACCACAGGATACAGCACCGAAAGCTACGAGTCCTGAGGCTGTAGCACCGCAACCTGTAGCGCCAGAGGGTTTTGGACCAAACGCTTTAGCTCCAGAAACTTCAGCAGGAGGTGCACTGGATTTATCCAGTGGTTCGGAGACTGTTGCAAACGGTGCTGTGGGGTGGGCAGGGGACTCAGAAGTAAGTGGTCTGAATGGTGCGATAAGGGGAGCATCAAGGGTTGGCAAGAGTGGGGAGAAAGGGGAGGGAGGGGAGGAGGGGAGAGGGTGGGAGGGAAGGGAGGAAGGGGAAGGAAGGGAGGGAGGCGAAGGAGGGGAGGGAGGGGAGGGAGGGGAAGCGGGAGAGTGGGGGGATGGAAGGCCAGATGTGTCACAGAGAAATTCAGAGTCACAGGTCAATCATGTAACAGAGGGTGAATGCAGAGCAGGTGTGACTGGGCCAGGTGTGACTGGGGCAGGAGTGACTGGAGTGGGTGTGATGGGAGCAGATGTGACTGGGGGAGGTGTGACTGGGGCAGGTGTGATGGGAGCAGGTGTGACTGGGGGAGGTGTGACTGGGGCAGGTGTGATGGGAGCAGGTGTGACTGGGGTGGGTGGGACTGGGGCGGGTGTGACTGGGGCGGGTGTGGCCAAAGAATCAGCAGTCACAGTAGCAGCATTAATCGGAGCGCCAACACAGCCAGCAGCAGCAGCGCGAGAAGCAATAGCAGCACCAGCACCAGAGGCAGCAGCAACAGCACCAGCAGCAGCGCCAGCAGCAGCAGCAAGACCACCAGCAGCAGCACCAGCAGCAGCAACAGCACCAGCAGCGCCAGCAGCAGCACCACCACCAACAGCACCAGCACCAACAGCAGCAGCAGCAGCAGCAGCAGCACTAGCAATTCCGCCACAGCAGCAGCTGGCACCCAAGCCAGTATCATTCCGAGAGCTTATCTTTGCTGATGGGGCGTTGGAGGAGGAGGAGGGGCGGCTGGGCTGCCTCTGGGAAGAGACTAGGGAGGGACAGAGACAGGATGATGACACGGAGTGCAGAGGAGACGAGGGGGGAAATAGAGGAGACGAGGGAGCACCAGCAGCAGCACCACCACCAAAATCAGCAGCAGCAACAGAAGGAGAAGAGGAGGAGACAGGAGAAGTGGCAAGTCTGTTCCTCGCATTCGTGAGGGACCCAGAGGAGTGGGCGTTGGGGGACGCGCAGAGCCGTGCCAAGGTGCCCCAATTTTTCCGATACCTCAGGCACCTGCAGCGAATAGGCTCGCCGCTGCTCAAGGTGAGTGTTGTTGGGTATGGGTGGGGCGGGGTTCTGTGTGTGGTGTTGTGTACGGTGGGCGCTGGGGGAGGCACACACAGCCGTGCCAAGGTGCCCCAGTTCTTCCGATACCTTCGACACCTGCAGCACATAGGCTCGCCCCTGCTCAAGGTGAGTCTGGTTGGGTTGGGTTGGGTATGGGTGGGGTGGTGAGCTGTGTTGTCTCGTGTTGTTGATGGTGGCGCTGGGGATGCACAGAGCCGCGCCAAGGTGCCCCAATCTTCCGATACCTCCGGCACCTGCAGCGGATTGGTTCGCCCCTGCTCAAGGTGGTGTGCTGTGTGTGTGCAGGTGAGTTGTGTGTTGTGTACGGTGCGGTTGGGGGAAGCACAGAACCGTGCCAAAGTAACCCAATTCTTTCGATACCTTCGGCACTTACATAAAATTGGCTCACCCCCCTCTTCCCCCCTGCAGGCCTATCGTGAAATCTTCCTTTCGCACGGCCTCTCCTCCTCGCAGCTACTGACCATCAAGAAGCAAGCGCTGATGCTCCTTGCTGCCCTCTTTGGGTACCGCAGGCAGCTGGACGGGAAGAACAAGGGGCAGTATGCTGCTATCGTTACCCACTCTGCCTTCTGGAGAGAACCGGGGCAGGGGCAGGGGCAGGGGCAGGGGCAGGGGCAGTGGGGAAGAGCAGGGAAGGGAAGGAACGCTAAGGTTATTCCAGCAAACGTTTGTCTGAGAGAGGAACGAGGGGAGCCAGTGCAGCATGGTTCAGAGCCGGGAGACGAGCGTCAGCAGCATTGTATAGATCTGCAGCGGGGGATGGAGGCTGGAGAGGAGCAGCAGTTGTGGAGGCAGCAGCAGGGGAAGCTGGGGGGGAATGCTGCGGCACGAGTGGATGGGTCGGCCATTCCGCGAGTTGTGAGTGAGGAGGGAGAGCCAGGTGTGAGAGTTGTGTGCCGACAAGCTGGGGTGCCAGAAGCAGCGGCGGCGGCGGTGGCAGCAGACAGGACGGCAAGAACAGCAGGGGAAGGAGCAGCAGCAGGAGGAGGGGCACGGGAGGGAGAAGGAGCAGCAGGAGGAGGAGGGAGAGCAGGGGAAGGGCGAGGGACTGGGGGCGGGTTGAGGTGGATGAAGAGGAGGATTCGAGTTCACCTGGGGAGTGAAGGGACAGAGGCAGGCCCGATGGAAACCCCGGCAGTAGCAGCAGCAACCACAACAGAAACAGCTTTAGCAGCAGCAGATCCGCCATTAGGCGAAGCTGCAATTGCTGCTATTGTGAATGCAGCGACTGCTACAACTGCTGTAGCAGCACCAATCGCTACAGCCGCAACTGCAGAAGCTGCTGCTAATCCACCCTCATCTTATCCTACCTCTTCATCTATCCCTCCCTGTGTGGGAAATGGTCTTTCTATTTCAGCTGCCTCTCTCCCCGGTCGAAAACAGTCCCTCTCAGAACTGCTGTTCCTGCAAACCAGTCGTGCTGGTTCGGGCCAACAGGCTCGGCCCGAGCCTGAGCCGGAGCCTGAACCCCAACCCGAGCCTGTGCCTGGTGCTGCTGCTGCTAGGTTGAGGGAGCAGGAGAGAGGGGAATGTGGGTTGAAGGAAATAAAAGGAGGGGAGAGGAAGAGGAGGAAATGTGATGGGGAGAAAAGTGGTCTGGAGAAAGGTTCACATGATCCGGAGGGTACAGAGTGGTGGGGAGGAGTCAGGGGAGTTAAGAGGAGGTGGGAGTATTCAGCTCATGATGATACTGATGATGGTGATGATGAGAGCAGCAAGGAGGACTGCAGTTCTGATGGTGATGGTGATGGTGATAGTGATGATGGGAAGGGGCAGAGTTGCGGCAAAGGTGCAAGCTGGGAGGGGCAGAAGCAGAAGCAGAAGCATGGGCAGAAGCAGCAGAACCAGAAGCAGCAGAACCAGAAGCATCACCAGCAGAAGCTGCTGAAGAAGCAGAAAGCAGGTGGCACAGGGGAAGCGTGTGGTGTGGATTGGATGGGAATTGCAGACAGTGAGTTGCTAAGCGCTGTACAGAACCACCTTATAAAGGAGATGGAGATGTGTGCAGGGCTCAGTGACTGTAATGGGGATGTACAGGCGCCTTGGTGGTGGCAGCAGGTGGTTTGTGGAACCTCTAGACAATGCAGCTTGCCAGGAGCCTCGTCAGGTGTTTCTCCAGGTGTTCCGTCAGGTACCAGCCCTGGTTCAGGTGCTCTGTTGCACCTGGAAAAGCTTCATCAGGAGTTTTGCCAGCTTGTGGATGGTTGTGGTGGTGGTGATGGTGATGGTGATGGTGATGGTGATGGTGATGGTGATGGTGATGGTGATGGTGATGGTGGTGGTAGTGGAATAGGGGCCAGTGTTGAACCCAGGGAAACGGGTGAGGAGGATGAAGAAGTTTTGCTACGCCACAAGTACAGTGCGGGCTCAAGGGGAGAAGCCGAGGGTGCTGGAGAGGTGAACGGAATGGAGGGAGGGGCAGGAGCAAAGGAGAGTGTGCACCGGCAGGGTGGGGATGTAGAAGTGTTAGAGTATGCAAAGGAGGGTGTGGGAGGAGGGGAGGAGAATGTGGGAGGAGAGGAGAGGATGGGAGGGGGGAAGGAGAATGTGGGAGGAGAAGAGAGGATGGGAGGAGGGAAGGGTGTGCTGATGAGAGGCAGATGGCAACGGGCAGTGCAGCTGAGCTTGCTCACAGCAATTGTTGCCGAGTGCGAGTCTCTGAATAAAGTACATGGTTTATCGATGTAAATAGGCTGTTCATAAAAGTAGTTTTTTTTTAGCCATTTGGAGTGCTGATTTACATGGTTCTAACAAGCATGTTTTATGGTTTGCATGATTTGTCGGGTAACATTGGGCAACCTACGGGGATTTAATAGGGGGGTGAGGAAGAACAAACACTTTTTTTCTTGTGGCAATGGCCGTTGCCATAGGCAGATATTGTAGGGGTGATATAATAACAATGTGGTTCCAACAAAACAGATTAGTAACCCATGGTTACCCTCTCCTGTGTTCCATTTTCAAGGACACGCGTTTCACGTTCAAATACTGCGGTTTCCTTCGGTATCGTTCTGCTGTCCTTCGGTATTCTTTGGTGGAGTTTACCGTTCTTTAACGAACTGCACCGTACTGAACGACTCGATATTGTAAAATCTCCCTGCCCTGCCTCGCTCCGCCCTTAGGACGCGTTACAATTGAAATACCGAGGAAGGATCGGGGGTGTTCGCCGAACCTGCCAAATCGATCGCCACATCGGTGTGCCACGACTGCATTGTTGCAATCGCGGGCCCACCGCAATTCTCAAGGGACACGTTTGAAAAATCATGGGGCAAAATCTCCCGATCTTGACGAAATTGCACGATCGATGTGTGGCAAGGGCACATCGATCGCGTGACTCCGAGGGGACAACTGTACACTGACGACAGATAACGAAGCCAAGTAACCACCGATTCGCAACTTAACGAAGTACTACCCGCGAAACACCGATCCTGGGCAGGATCGATGTTTCAATTGTGACGCGTCCTTAGGACGCGTTACCTGAAGCGGTTCGATTGGCTGGAAGATCGGTTTTGTGCGCGAGGTGTAGCACTGTAGTGGTCAATAAGGTAACTATTGTTCGCCAGTGTTTACGAATCTACAGTACAAATGTGCCCACGATCCTGTCACCCACAGGAGCCCCGATTGATTTAGCGAATGGCACATATCGATCGTGAGATTGGTTGGCGGGGTGTGAAATTTCGCGCCACGAGTGACAGTCGAGATCGATCGTCTTCGCTCGTCGTCGCATACATTGGGTTTTCCTGTGCGATTTTTGCGCACGACAACAGAGCAGTTTTCGCAGGCTGGGTGTACCACAACCCCGAAACCTGCCTTACTGAACCTGTCACGTGTATATCGGTGCGCCGTAGTTGCGCAGTCCTGTGCACCGATCTCCGCCGAGCCTGGGCTCGAAATGACGTTTGGTGCGGATCGGCTGATCTTCGGCCGACCGCTTCAGGTGACGCGTCCTTAATCCCTGCGCGAAGTTGTACCTGAAATCCAAGTCTGTGGCGAGTCGTTGTGAGTTAGTTACGTCTCTAGATCGGTACTGGTCCCTTAGAATCAGACAGTTGTACCGCGAATCCACGGATATATAGGCGAAGGCCCTAGAGAGGACCTAGTCTGCTGTTTGTGTACTCTTTCTCTTGAACGACTGAATTCAGGGCGTCGTTCAGCTCTGGCGGCTTCAGTTTCTCGCCGCTCTTGCCTCTCGCGGCTTTTTTATTGCTATGAATTCCGTCGCGTCCTGATCTGCGGAACTCGCTTCGAAGTTCTTTGAGCGGACTAATTCAACCCTAATCTCGTACCGAGTGGCAGCGTACCCGTACCAAGTTCTACCGAACTCACGCCAATATTTACCGAACTCCACCGAGCTCGATCGAACTTCCACAATGGTAGAGATTCGTAACGCGGGAGAGGATAGCACGGATCGTTCGCGGTGGCAAATAATCTACCCCGTTTACTTAAACTCGAAGATGACTATAGCGCAGGGTCGTCGCATCGCGGCGAGTAAAGCCGCGGAGAACCCTAACATTCAAGAAATGGTCGACTCGTGCACGCATCTTAAAATCCCCGTGCATGCCGAGGTGGGTTTGTGGAAAATCATGGTTTGGGGTGTGGCATTATAGGGCACGCGGAGGTGGGTTGGGGGGAATCATGTTTCCCGAAGATTCAAGAGATGGTCGACTCGTGGACAGGTGGGCTGCATAGGCGTTACTTCCATCAACTCTGGGGTTCGGCTGAAAATCCCCGTGCATGCCGAGGTGAGGTCGGCGTGAGCATGGTATGGGGTGTGGCATTATGCGGGGTTGAGAGTCCATGGGAAGGCCGGAGAGGAACGGATGCACGCGGAAGTGGGTTGGGAAGGAATCATGTTACCCGAAGATTCAAGAGATGGTCGACTCGTGCACGCATCTTAAAATCCCCGTGCATGCCGAGGTGGGTTCTGCGTGAAGGTGAGCGCGTATCGAGCGCGGGGGTGAGCTTGTCGTGAAGCGTGAAGCGGGTCTTGGAGTGTGGCACTATACTGGGGTGCTTTCTTTCTCCCATGTGACAATGTAACGAGGTGTGGCATTGTATTGAGGTGTGCCATTGTAACGAGGTGTGGCATTGTAACGAGGTGTGGCATTGTAACGAGGTGTGCCATTGTAACGAGGTGTGCCATTGTAACGAGGTGTGACATTGTAACGAGGTGTAGCATTGTAACGAGGTGTGCCATTGTAACGAGGTGTGCCATTGTAACGAGGTGTGGCATTGTAACGAGGTGTGACATTGTAACGAGGTGTGACATTGTAACAAGGTGTGACATTGTAACGAGGTGTAGCATTGTAACGAGGTGTGCCATTGTAACGAGGTGTGGCATTGTAACGAGGTGTGGCATTGTAACGAGGTGTGACATTGTAACGAGGTGTGACATTGTAACGAGGTGTGACATTGTAACGAGGTGTGACATTTTAACGAGGTGTGACATTGTAACAAGGTGTGACATTGTGACGTGCTGCATCACAGTCTTGTTGGTCTGTGATCTGGACTTTTGAGTCGACTCAGAGATCGCGAGTTGGTCTGTAAATCTAACCTTAAAATCCCCGTGCGTGCAGAGATAAATTTGGCGTGTCTTGCATACGTGCTTCACTGTGTGTCTGTGCATCTGTGTGAATGTGAATTGCTGTCCGTTCACCCTGTTGCAGCTAGACAAGGCATACTCGCGGGATTTTTTTCAAAGAGGACGCATTCGCGTGCAGATCAAGAAACCCGACAACACGCCACACAACCCCGACATTCCCAACAGTACGTGCAACAATATGGGCTTCAGTAAGGGCATTAGTCGCTGCAAGAGAGTGGTACAGCATAGGTATTAGTAAGGGCAACAACAACTGCAACAGTGAGTGTAACAGCGAGGACAACAGTAGGCTTCATCCAAGGGTTTGTCCAAGCTTCCATGCGACTACTCCGTGAAAACCAAGAAATCTAGGGGGGGGGGAATGCAGCTGTTTTCTATGGAAGTCATTGAAGAGGAAAGTGCTGACGTCATACTCATCTCAGACTTCCCTCATTTTCTCTCAACTCCTGTTTCTAACAAATATGCCAAACGTAGCTGATTTTCTGTACGGCTGTGTACCCCTCCCTCCTACTGTACAGAAATGGCGCTTATGCTGAAACTGGGGGAGCTTATACCGAAGCACGTTGGGCGGAGCAAGAAAGACAAGGAGAAGGAGAAGGAAGGAGGTGGCGGAGGGGGTGGGGGAGCAGGCGGGTCGCATGGAGCAGGGGGCGGTTCTGAGAAGAAGGGGAAGGGAGGGAAGAAGAGGAGATGACGAAGCAGGGTTGATGTTACACAATAACCTCAAATATCATCATAAAATAAAAGTCAGGAGGGGGTGGGGTGGGGATGCAGGGTGGTCACACGGAGCAGGGGCGGTTCTGAGAAGAAGGTTCAGAGGGGGGAGAAGAGGAGATCATGAAGTGGGGCCGGTGCATGTGAGCTGGTGTTACATGGTAACTTCAAATGTCATATGCAGGGTGGTTGCATGTGGAAACGCGGGTGTCTGGGTAAGCATACGGTAAGGGGGGAGGGAGGGAGAGGGAGGAGAGGGAGGGAGATGGAGGGAGATGGAGGGAGAGGGGGAAAGTGGGGGGGAGAGGGGGAGCAGAGGAGATGACAAGGGCTGCTGTAAAATGGACTGTGGATTTGACTGTTTACAGAGTGCCGTATCCTTCTGCTGTAGGTGCTGCAGGAGGTGGTCTGTAAGGGTGACAAACTAGGACTTCTGGGTGAGGTGGTATCTGTGTTGACTTTTGAGTCGACTCAAAAGTATCTGTTCAGGGTGCACTGAATCTCCTAAAAACTATGTGAAAACGAGGCAGGGAAGGAAAGTTCCCAAGAAGCATGTCAACAAATGATTACTGATTTTATTACCTTATTTATCTATACTAATGGAGATTACTCACAAATACTACAAACAATCAACGTAGCCCCTCTCCCCAACCCCTCCCTCAACTCCTCCCTCCCCCACCTTCTCCTTCCCCCCCCTTCCCCTCTCTTTCTCCCTTCCCCCTCCCCCTCTTTCCCCCCTTTCTACCCTCCACCCCCAAAAACCGCATCTCATCCCACACCACGCCAGCCTCTATTCAAGCATGACACGTACACCACCGATGTCAGCATTAGGCGTCGTATCGTATCATCACATCCTGACAAAGACCTCCCGCCCTGTCTCCCGCCAATAATCGACACTCATCTCATCCCCCCCCCCACTCCTCTCCTTCTATCACTCGGCTCTTTCCCCCTCCTTCACCCCTTCTCCCCTTCGCCCCCCTCCCCTCCATCACATTCCTCCCCTCCTCCTCCTCCTACCCGCTATCAAAATTTCTCGTATAAACACATCTGGACAAAGTAACACTACAACCCTCCCCCTCCTTCTTGCCCGAATTCGTCACTCATCGCATCATCCCCACCGTCCATCTCATCTCTATCCCCCTCCTCCTCCTCTTCCTCCTCTTCCTCCTCCTCCGCCTCCCCTTCGACCTCCTCCCCCTCCCCCTCCCCGTCCCTCCCCCCCGCCTGACCAATCGGCGCGGTCCCCTCGTTAGAAGCACGCACCGCTAGAAGCTGCTGCTCGTACGCCGCTTCGCGCGCAGCCAATAGGGCTTCTTCGCTCAGCGCCGCGAGCGACGCGGGGAGTTCCTCGATCGCAGGAGGGCGGAGATCGGGGAAATAGGTGAATCCGAACGACATAACTGAGTTCGAAACAACGCAACCGTGACTCAAAACTGGTGAATAGATGAATACTCTCGAAGTGCTCCGTATTCTGGTCTAAGGAAACCAGTCGATACGTAATATGTTTGGACGCGCGGTGTCAGGATGACTGACAGCAAAGTGCGGGGTGCGCAAGCGTGGGGATAAAATATGGTTCTTTACTCGATATCGTATTGTTCCCAAATTTGCAATCTACAACATGCTCTCCATAGAATCAACACTTCTATAGATTCCAGAACTTCATTTCTAGAAGCGTCGAAGGTACTTTTGATATATTAAGGAAATCAGAAATATGGATAGCATTATCAATGTGCTGCATCCAGATGCATATTCAGGTCTCGCTCGCTGTGAACCATCACACCACAAATTGGACACCCCACATTCAACGACCTCCAAGAAACCGCACCACTTACCCCACTCACCCCACCCGCCTCATCTCTTCTCTCCAACCCTCCCTCCAAATTCCCACCCATCATAGCAACATTCCCTACGTCCTCCTCTTTCTTCCAAACCCTGCTCCGCCTCAAAATCTCCGGCATAGGCTCGTGCCCAATGCTCTTCGTCCATGTCTGTGTGAAGCGTGTGTGTGCCCCTCCCACCACCCACAGCACCAGGAGCGTTCACAGAAAAAGCAGCAGCAGCAGCAGCAGCAGCAGCAGCAGCAGCGGTGGTGGTATTAGCAGTGGCAGCAGCTGGCGATGCTGCTGACGTGGCAGGCAACGAATGGAAAGCCGCCACGTGGACATCCATCTCCTTGAGCATAACTGGTCGCCTGCACGTGTCACAGGGGGCGGTGCGGGCCCCACAGTGTGCCTCGTGGGGTGAGAGGCCGTTGAGACGGTCTCTAGCGGAGAGGGGTGGGCCGAGGGCCGGCACGAGGGCAGCACAGAAGCGACAGAGGATGGGGCGATGGGGACAGGTGGTGCGACGGTGGTGGTGCTGGTGGGGGTGGGGGGCGAGAGGGGGAAAGGGAGGAAAGACATGAGGGCGGGCACGAGGGCAGCACAGAAGCAACAGAGGATGGGACAATGGGGACAGGTGGTGCGCCGGTGGTGGTAATGGTGGGGAGGAGGTGGGTTAAAGGTGGGCCGGGTGGGGGGAGAATGGAAGGGGAAGCATTAAAGCAATCTTAGAAGCCACGGGCAAAAGGAAGGGAAAATGGGGCTCACTCATGCATGGGTGGGCCAGGTGGTAAGACTGCCTGTTGAAGACTGCCTGCCTGCCTGCCTGATAATTTATGCACTTACCACATCACCAGCCTTCCCCACACTCCACAGTCGCACACCATCTTTCCGTGCCGAACCCGCTCGTGCTTCTCCCTCTCCCTCCTACCTTGCGTGTCTACCACACTTACAATATCAAAAGCCTTTCCCACAAGTCCGCATTCGCACACCATCTCCCCGTGCCAAACCCGCTCGTGCTTCTCCCTCTCCCACCTACCTTGTGTGTCTACCACACTTCAGAAGCTTTTCCCACCAGTCCGCATTCGCACACCATCTCCCCGTGCCAAACCCGCTCGTGCTTCTCCCTCTCCCTCCTACCTTGCGTGTCTACCACACTTACAATATCAGAAGCTTTTCCCACCAGTCCGCATTCGCACACCAACTCCCTGTGCCGAACCCGCTTGTGCTTCTCCCTCTCCCTGCTCCCCCCAAACACCTCCCCACACTCCCCGCAGTGCTGGTGATGCTCGCCGCCCGATTCCAAATCCGCCCGCCTCAACACCACGGAGCACCCGGGATACGGACAAACGACGTTGTGCCGGGAACAGTAGGCCTCGTGCAGGGACAGCGTGCGGGTGGCGATGAGCTGGCGACAGTTGGCGCAACGTGATTGGTCGGCAGGCGGAGTAGCAGCAGCAGCATCACCACCACCACTGGTACCACCACCAGCAGCATCAGCAGCAGCAGCAGACGCAGATGGGTCTAGATCCGAGGAGATTAACTCCTTGGAGTGCGCAGATATATTGAACCTGCATGTGCCTGCTGCACCGTGCACTGCTATAGTGTACGTTGCAGGCTCCTTCAGCGCTTCAGCTGCTGCTAATCCCGTCTCTTCATCGCTTGCCGTTTCTGCTGCTGGTGCTGGTGCTGCTGCTTCTGCCGCTTTCGCCAGTGCTGATGCAGAGAGAACGAGCGTCTTGGAGCCAATAGGGAGAATGGACGACACGTCATGGTCCAGAAACGACGGGTACACAATTGGGTGCCTGGACAGGTACAGGTCAGCATCACCCTCCGCCACGTCAGCACCTCCTCGAGCCACGTCAGCAGCCAGCTCAGCCGAACCCCCTTCAAGCTGCAACCGAAACTCCAGTTCTACCTCCCCCTGATACAACCTCCTGCCAAACCTTCCATCCACATAAACCTTGAAATACCGCCATTCGCCCTCCTGAATCTCCCCTGCCAGTCCCTTCCCCCCTATAGGCAGCACCAGTAAGCGCCTATCAGCACTCCCCACGTGGATCACCTCCCTCTTTACAACCCCTGCGCCAACTCCTCCCCCTCCTCCCCCTGTTTCCTCTCCTTTCTCTCTTGTCTCGCCTTGCTGCTCATCTGTTTCTCTCAGCTTTCTCCCAGTACCAGCCTTAGCCCACCCTCCGTCCCCCTCATTCTTCCCATCCCTCCCCGCATCCCGCATTTCTCCTTCCTTCCCCTTCCCCTTTCCCTCCCCCTTGCCTTCCCCCTGCCTTCCCCCCTTGCCTTCCGCCTCCCCCTGTCCCTCCCACGGCGAAAGCTCGATTTCCACGTCAGCATCAATCACTGTAGCAGCGCCGCTCGCGCCACCCACGCCCTTCACCTCACACACGCGCACCGCCACCTCCCCCACCTCCGACCCGACCAATAGCACGTCGCCACGTGTCAGAGCCGCCTGGCCCCGCAGCGCCGCTTCCAGCACAGCGCGGTGGTTCGCCACGTCAGCGAGGAACCCGTGGCGCAGCGGCTGGAGCCGCGCGAACGTTGCTTTAGGGAGTTTGACGAAGCGGACGCGCACAGGCGGGGGAGAACCGGACGGATTAAAGACGTCTATTATCCCTGATAACCCCAAATTTCGGAGGATAAGAGGGGGTAGACCTACACAGCCCTCCGGCGCAGTAAACTCCAAAACGCCTCCGTGCGTCACCCTCCGCTTCACTCTCCTCCCGTTATAATCACCCCCGTTAATATCAACATCCACCGCATAATCACTCTCGTCTGCGTCGTCCTCTTCCTCCCCCTCCGCCTCCATTCCGCCACCCACGCTTCCGCCTGCCGAGCTCCCGCCGATTGCGCTTCCGCCGGTTGCGCTTCCGCCTGCCGTGCTTCCGCCAGCGGCGCGCGGAACGGAGAGCTCGAAGAGCATGGGGCCTCTATCGAGGGCCTCGTCTAGCGGGAGATCGGACAACACCGACTGAGGGAGAGTGATCTTATCGCGGTCGCCCGTTATAGCGACGGGGATCAGCTCGCGATTGAAGCGGATGCCGCCTCCTGCTTGCAGATCCGCCTCGGCTTGACGACGAGCCTGGCGGCGAAAACATGATGGAAACAGAAACAGGGAGAATATGATGACTTCTGAGTGGACTTAGCGCGATTGAAGCTGATGCCGCCTCCTGCTTGCAGATCCGCCTCTGATTGCCGTCGAGCCTGACGGCGTGAAAATTACAGAAATAAGAATGGGGGTAGAATGTTTCGAAATCGAAAAAAGAGAGGAAAAAAGAGAAGCGTGAGGAAAAACGGAAAACGAAAAGAGCAGGAAAGGTACGAATTGTTGGCTGTTCCCTGCTGTACACTCCAACCCTAAACGCAGCTAATCTCATTACATCAAATCTAATCACTCACTGCTTCAGCAGCTGCAACCTCCTCCAGTCGTTTAAGCCTCTGCGCCTCTTCGATAGCCCTCCGACGCGCCTCGATCTCTTCCTTCGCCTTTCTCTGTCTCTCCGCCTTCACCCGCGCCGCCTCCCGCTTCTCACGCTGCTCCTTCTCGTATCGCTGCTGCGCCCTCCGCAGCTCGAAATCCATGGCGGTCCCCTATCAAGCCTGGTTGTTTTTTTTCAATGCTCAAAACAGGACTGCTGCTGAAACCGATATTACTTAGAAAATGCGTCGATCAAACCAGAAGTCGAAAGACAGACCCGACTTTAATATTTCCTAACAGCTTTTCGGAGAGACCTGTTTTCGGCAACGCTTTCCTTCTTGAGATGTAGAGAGAGCGTAATAAACTGGATTGATTCTTGCGCAAGACAGGAGAACTGAAGAGAGGCAATTTCGTCACAACATTCACTCTCGGACTTGCTACTCGGACAATCTCGTGATTTATGGAGACTAAATCCTACTACGCGTTTCAAAGCGGTGCGATCGTGTTCAGAAAGGGTGGAGTAGGATAGTCAGTCAATCCGAATGCACACAATCCATGTGCCTCTCCCCGCCTCAGTTCAGTTGGCTTCTCCAAGAAGATACCTGCCGTGTCGCGGAGATCAGTCGTACGTGTTCTCCTCCGAGGAAGAATCGAGAGCTTTCGGGCCGCTGGATGCTGCTAGAGAAATCGCGACCATTCGTTTGTTCCTTGTTATTTCTGCGCTGCTTCGCTGCTCGTGGACGTGGCTCCAGAAAGTGGGTGGAGTCAGCGAGGAAAAGCAGCTTTCACGAACGAGACGAAAGAATCAGGAAACGGGTAACTTTACCAGGCAGAACCTTGTCATAAAAAGGCCAACAACGCCTTACTTTTACAAGAAATGCTTCAACATATTATTCCCCCCTCCATTCTCTCCTTCCCTCTCCATCTTAACTAATCACTGATAAAATTTCATGAAGACGCCATATAAGGAGATATGTTGATGCAGTACGCACATTAACTTTTCTCACTTCCACTCTCGCTTTCACTCTCGTTCCGAAAATCGTACTCCACAATAAGACCCAGATTGTCCACTAATCGATGAAACTTCTCGCAGCCACCACACTGCAGAGCGCAACAGGGGGACAATGAGGAACAAGGGAAGAATGGGGCATGAGCAATACAGAAGGACGAGGCGCATTAGCACAAACGACATAAACATAGTAGTCATGTCACATTAGGCACAGTACAATGAGGCATGGGGCACTGAAGGGAAACGAACTAGAGAGTCATCTTCCTCACCCATCCTCCTCCCCAATATTCATCCCTTTCTCACTCCCTCAATCCACCCCTTCCCCCTTTTCCCAACCCTCCCATTCCCCATTCACCATCCCCAATCCACCATCCCCGTTTTGTCTGTTCCTCTCGCTTCCTCGTCTGCACGAACACTGTGCCTTTCTTCAGTGCCAGGGGGGTGGCCAGCCGTGAGGTGCGGGTCCCGCACACTCCGCACGTGAACGTCACCCTGCACACTGCCCTTACCCTCCTCCCTTCCTCACTCCCACAATCCCTCACTTCTTTCATTCGCCGACCCCACATCCAGCATTCCCCATCCCCCATTCCCATTCCCCCTCCCTCTCCCTCCCTCACCTGCACAAAAACTCTTCCCTTCTTCAGAGCCAGGGGGTTGGCCAGCCGTGAGGTGCGGGCGCCTCCACATGTAAAAGCCAACTGCACACTGCCCTTACCTCCTCCCTTCCTCCCCTCCTCCCTTTCTCACTCCCGCACTCCCTCAACCCCCCCTTTCCCCGTCCCCCCCCCCCCCCCCCTTTCTCCCACCCCCTCATTCCCATTCCCCATCAACCGTTCCCTTTGCTGTCCGTCCCCACCCCCCTTTTCTCACCTGCACAAAGACTGTTCCTTTCTTCAATGCCAGGGGGTTGGCCAGCCGTGAGGTGCGGGCCCCACACACCCCACACGTGAGCGTCACCTGCACACTGCCTTTACCTCCTCCCTTCATCCCTCCCTCCTTTCCTCCCTTCCTCACTCCCTCACTCCCTCAATCCCAACCCCCCCCCTTCCCCCCTTTCCCCCCACCCCTTCATTCCCCATCCCTCATCCACCATCCCTTTTTCTGTCCGTCCCCACCTCTTCCTCACCTGCACAAAAACTGTTCCTTTCTTCAACGCCAGGGGGTTCGCCAGCTGTGTGGTGCGGGCGCCACACACCCCTCACGTGAACGTCACCTGCACACTGCCCTTACCTCACTCTGTCCTCCTTTCCTCCTTTTCTCACTCCCGCACTCCCTCAATCCCCTCTTTCCCCTTTTCCCCACCCCCCCCATTCTCCATTCCCCATCCCCATTTTTCTCCGTCCCTATCCTTTTCTCACCTGCACAAAGACTGTTCCCTTCTTCAGAGCAAGAGGGTTGGCCAGCCGTGATGTGCGGGCCCCACACACTCCACACGTGAACGTCACCTGCACAGTCCGCCGCTGGCTCGGTTCCGAGTCCAACACCGAGCCTAGCACCGTGCCTGATTCCGAGCCTGTTGGCGAGGATGGGTCCGGAGTCAAAGCCAGGCCATCCGTTGATGGTTCAGGGGAGGAGGAATTGGAGGTGGGGGGGGGAGGCGACTTGGCCAATTCTGATTGGGAGGAGGTGGGCTGGGTGAAAATAGAAAGAAAGGGAAGTGGGGAGGAGGAACGTTTCAATATCCATCAATACGATTTATAAAGAATGACTCCCAATCAATGAGAATCTTAATATACTCGAAGAGGGAGGAGAGTGGGCTGGTTGAAAATAGATAGGATGGGATGAGGAAGATGCCAGAGACCTTAAGTTGAGCCCATGCCAGCCCATGCCAGCCCATGCCAGCCCATGCCAGCTCCATCCCATGCCAGCACATGTCAGCCCATACCACCCCATGCCATCCCATGCCAGCCATATTATCTCATGTCAGCCCACGCCATCCCATGCCATCCCATGCCAGCCATATTATCCCATGTCAGCCCATGTCAGCCCATGCCATCCCATGCCATCCCATGCCAGCCCAAGCCAGCCGCTATTCAAAGCGTGTCTGGAATTTAACGACCACACAGATGTTCGAAATAAGAGCAGGAAAGAGAAATTGAAGCTTCCACTGACCTCCAAGAAGCGAGATTCGGCCGGCAAATCCGTCTCGCCTGCCACACAATGGGGCGAAGTGAGGCAGTGAGAGCATGTGTGGGGGAGGCGTTGGTGAATAGTGGTTCAGTGGAGGGGATTCACGACTTCCAGTCGACTCAAAGGTCGCCTCGATCCGTCCGCATGCGAACGAGATTGACGAGGTGAGGTCGTGATGAGATATAATGGGGAGGCTGTGGTGGTGGGTGATTCAGTGGAGTAGATTCTCCACTTTTCAGTCTGTTCGACGGAATCCGTCTTGCCTGTGACAGAGAGTGGCAAGGTGAAGTGATAATTGAAGAATAACGAACACAAAGGGACGTTTTGCCTTGAAGGCTTGTTCTAGAAAAGCTGACGTTTGCGAATAGGGAGAGCTGGTTGAGATTGAATCAGTGGAGTGAAAGCACCACCTTGAGAACATACGCATTATTGAGTGCTTTGATTCTACGAGACCTAAGGACGACCCCGAACCATTCACTAAGAACAAGCTTACCTGTTTCAGGATTGTGTTTGGACAGGATTTTGGTGTGAAACCTCTGACTGACGTGACTACTATCAAGCCGCGCCCCTATTAATCGCTGCTGGATCTTATTGTTTTCGCCGAATCTTGTCAGGAAAAGGCTTCTTGTCTCCGGTTTGGGCATAAATACCCTGACAGAATGCTTCACTTTTGAGGCATGAAGCCGTGGATTTTGCATCGGCGACCATCTTAGTTGGGAACTGACAGTAGCTGAAGCCATTTCTGCGAGTGGCTGTAAGAGAAGTAAACAGTCGCAACAGCCGCAACAGCGGAAATCGCAGCAATGGCTAGCTCAATAAGATACTAAGTGGCAAAGAAACTAAGCGGTTTGAAGGTCTGGCACATGCTTATAGCAGCTTCTGCATTCGCAGAACTGATGGGAGATGGGACTGGAACTGGCGATGAAGTGAGGTCTCGACGAAACCATAACGAGACAGGGCTGCGATTATGTCGTAACCACCCTGGTGCGGAACACATCCAGCTGAAATTTCTGCCATTTTTTTCGAGAAAGTTACCCTTCTTGAAAAAGGCTCGTCAAAGCCTCGCATTACCCGATTGAAGGACGAACTGTGGAAATAGTAATCGGCGAACTAGTAACCTTCACGACGGGAAGATACCATGTTCGCGAGGGTGCGTCGTGAATCGCGAAGCGAATGCAACAGTCACTAGATTTGTAGGACTCAGGGAATCTGCATGATGAGAGGAATCTGTCGGGTCTCAAGAATCTTGGAGGTGTCGCACCGTTGGTCACAATTTGGTCACAGATTCCCGCTATAAACCACAGTACCCTGTCTTAACCTCCTTGGACCGCAACGCACCAGGCAAACATTAGTACGTGAATTTGAAGCCAATGCATCCCTGAGTCAGCCGAACACGTTGTCAATCAAGCTCAATGGCATATTCTAAATGGAATAAAAATATCCCACTTTGGTTCTCCGTTTCCTCGAGACATTCTCGCTTAGGGGTGAAGTCATTCTCCAGTTTTCAAGCCGTTGTTGCAGCTGATATACAAGTAGCTTGATTTGCGTTGCCGTCACGTTCCGTGAAGGAATATATTAGAGAGCGTAGCGATAGCGAGAGAGTCTCTGCTATGGGAATGATGTTGCGCCAGCAACTTGGTAGAGTTTTGGTAGCGTTTGCCTCTAAGGACTTTGTGAGAATTGAAGTAGCATTTGGGCCAAGTAGAATTGCAATATCAATTATCAAACACACAAGCAAACACAAACATATATAGGCAAGCAAGAGTTGCACAATTGTTGCGTGGCGCTGCGAGTAACCCAACCCACACGAAAGTGCTGTGCAGGTGGGTGAACGCGCCCCGCACATTTCCAACCCAACTCGGCACCGGAATGTCTCACCGTGCACGCTACTCCTGCCAACACAGCAAGTGAGCAGCGTGCCTCACAAGCAAGGCACCTACGACCCCCAAGACTCGTCATTCCTAGCACCGATTCCGCCGAGTTCGCTGCAGTAGCTCACAGTCACCCGTAGTCACTAATGACCGC